ATATAAGCGGTTTTTTTTTGTATATATACTAATGAGAGAACATTCCGACGGTGTTTTATTGATTAAATGCGATTTTCATTGAATTTATGATTGAAAGTTAATGATTAGAAATTATATGTGAACTTTTAAAAGCTTTTTTTCTTTATGTGCTTAATAGATTAAAATGAATTTAATAGATATGAGCTCTACAAATGAATATAAGTTTCACAGAGCAATGCGCGTTGCTGTGGCACACATGAAAATCGTTAATTTTGCAATAAAAAAAAAGAAATAATCCTGATAAAACTATTCTATATTTTAAGTTGAAACAAATCACACATTTTGAAAAAAAGTACGTTAAGATCGGTTAAGTAGTTCCGGAGTTCACCGCAGACCAACATCGTGACACGGGAATTTTATATACCTACTTATTAAGATTTATAAATAAATTTTAGTCTATTTAATTTTTAATTAAATGTATTTCAAAATCATTTTATAATAATGAAGCTAAAAATTCTTATAATTTTTATATTCTTTTAAAAACATAGAACACTTTACTACACTTACGTTATATAATATTAGGCGGTTATAAATTAAGTACTTTGTAAACGTAAATGGCTGAAATTGGATTTATTGTTAAATTAATTGCTCTTATTAAATAAATATGCGTACAAAAACAATAAAAAAATGCTTATAAATAATAAATATTTAAGTATTCAAACAATAGGGAGTTAAAAATACGTTACAACCTCCACTGAGCAAAGTATCGAAATTTCACGTAGGCTTAAGAAAATTTTCAATCTAAAATAATAAGATTTATCTTATTCTACATCAGAAGATTCGTCATAAAGCCATCACGTAAAATGATAAAATGAGGCACAATTTCGAGGATATATTCGCCTTGCAACACTGAAACGATCTGGTTATATTGAATAATTCTACCGATGCAATAACATAACTCCTCCCTTACAAATTATCAATTAATTGTGATTTCCAACAAGCACAAAAATTTCATTGAAAATTTTATCTTCTACAGTAATTTTCATGATTATACATATTATCATCTTATACATTGAATATGAACTAAATGCATAGAATTCAAAGATTTTTTTGAATTCAAGTGTGATTATTTTGTTATTTTAAACTATATCTATAAAATAAATAGAACTTAAAACAACTTTTACACAAAAGATGTTTAAAGTTAGAAAAGTTAAGGGCAGGCTTTAATGCGACTTTTGAACATGTTTGAATCGGCTGAGAATAATTCTTACATATTAAGATACCCTGATTCGGGGTTCCGGAAACACGTACAGAACTCAGAATGCGATAAATATCTACATACAATACGAGTATTTGTCACAGACAAGATTCAAACACGCTCTAAACGTTGTTTCGATTCGATCAACATTACAAATTAGCAATCTTGTACATATTATATCTTTAAAATTGTTTCAAACACAATGAGTACAGAGACGTTGATACTAAATCTATATTGTAAGTCTTTAACAAAATTATAATTGGCATTAGTAGGTTTAACATTTAAGAGTTCCGCGCAAAGCATTAAAAATATAATATCATTTTGTTCAAATAAAATTTGCGTAAACACACAAAAATAACAGATATCCATATAAATTCCGACATCAATGAGTCAATTTTACAACAATAGTTAATACATAATTAACTGCCCAACTAAATTTGTATCCACATCAAAGTATTTAACATTTATTTTGGAACATTTCAATTTCTTTACACAGTCAGTATCAAATTACATACATCTTGTTACAAAATGAACAATAGCTCTCATTTAAATAATTAAAACATTACTGTCTAAACCTCTTACATTATCATTGTGTTGTTGGAAATCACCCAAGATTTTTGTTAAATATAAAATCATCATTTCCATCATTATAACTAACGGACTTTTCGAGATTCAAAAAACGAGGTCATCTCATTTAATAGGCAATTAATTATTCTAAGTACACAGCACATCTAACCAAAAACTAATATGAGAGAGAAATACTATTAAAATGTTGGTTGAACATTAAAATTTCACCCTGTATTGCAATAAGATCTCAAAGCTGATTTAATCTGTATAATCTTTAGATAAGTAAAGATGCTGCAAGCGTCTTATTTCTATTGTTTTTGTCACTTACCAAGTATTTCGTGGAATGCGCAAAATTCTCTTTCCTTTAAATCCCGATCCCTTTCTATTTTATGTTATTGTTCAAGTTTCTTAGAAATAGAGAACGTAACGCATATCTACATCGTCTGTTTAAATATATGCGTTGTCATCAATTAAATCTGTAGAATTCTTTTAAGTGTCACTTTAATTCGGAATGTCTTGTGTAATATAATATGAGTGATCACTTATAATTTTTATAATGTCACTGATTTTATTTATTTTTATTAACATCAGCTGTTCTGTCTTTATTACTGCCATGTGGTGTTGCTTTCTATTTCTTTAACATATATATATATATATATATATATATATATATATATATATATATATATATATATATATATACATACATAATTTTAAATATTTGTTAAATAAATTTGACTGAATTTGACAAAAACTTATCACAAAAATATTATGTTGGTTTTAACTGAAGATTATAATTTGCTTAACTTAAAAAAAAAAATGGGAATAAATTTTGTGATATTCGTAATTTTAGTAGTTGTATGTGTCAAAAACTAGATCAAAAGATCTATATTGATTGCAGAAAATTTAAGAATTGGCAGCAAATCTTTGAGTTTTAAATATTTTGGCATGATTTTAAAATTCCTCATGTTAGTCAAAGACAGCCACGTCATGATAAGCTAATTGTTCACGTCATGCGTTATTTTAACCAGCTCAGAACAAGTAAACACGCTTTAAAGTTATTACAAACAGGTTAGGCCGATTATCCCTTCACAAGCTTCAGGGTCGTAATCTTAAAATAAACTAAAGCAACAAACACACAGTCTACCACGAAACGGTTAAGTATATCTTTACCTATATTAAAATAGACGCACAGCATATGGAACATAATAGATATCCCAAATGTTATTTTTATATCCATTTGTTTGGACAATGCATTAGCTCGTCTGATGTTTTTTTGTTTTGTTTTAGTCTTTTTGGTAAATTAAATTTTTTGGATACACAGCTATTGAGATGTTCCACTTAAGTTTCTTTTTGGGGTAAAATCCGTAATTAAGATTCTATTTTCAGAGAAATTTATTTTCATAATGCTTCTCTGGTAGTCTTTTGTCTCGCAAGGTTAGATCATTATACTGTTAAATAAAGTAATTAGCGTCAGCCGTTAAAAACGATGCGACTAATTAATTCAACGTATTAGTATTACTTAAACTGACAAAAACATATCAGTTTAAGTACACCCTTTATTAGATAATAACACTATTACAAAGTTGTTTCATTATTTGCCCACCATTTTTTTTTTAAACTCAATTTTGCTAATATTTCAATTCGCCAAATTATTAAGACAAACATTAAAAATAACCTTTTTTATATTTAATTATGCCAAAAAGACTTCCCAAATCTTATTCAATACTTATTCTGATAAAATTATCTTTATAATACAGTGTGAAATTTAAACGTATCCTTAAGCACTATTTTAAAAATATATCAACTGCCACTAAATGCGTATGTCTAACAGAAAACCGGTCTATTTCAACTACTATTTTACTATTTGACTATTTCATAACATGATCAGATGGTTGATCACATTTAGCACTACATGTGCTGAATATGTTGGAACCAGAACAAAAATTGATGAATGAGACGATATACTTAATAATGAAGTTTCTTAGCATTGCGTATGTAAAAATTGATGTTAATATCGATTAAATGAAATTTAAACCAAAACCAACAATGGCTATAGCATTAACTATAAAGATAATATTATAATTATGGACAATTTTAAACTTTTCGCTAGATACCTATTAAATTAAGCCTCAAATCTCTTCATTCTGGTTTCAAACATAAATATCATTTGAATTGATTAATTACTAATCAAGATATAGATAATACACATTCGCTTAGCTTAGCATAGGCTAGGTCTGAGATGTAATTTCGCCATTATTGAGCATTCACACTCAAAACTATTAATTAATCGTGACAAAAAGCCACTAAAAGCTGTCATACATTTTAAATGCGTTAAAATGCTTGTAGAAGAAAAAAAAATTAAAATCAGTCGAGTGATGAAGTTGAAACACATATTTTATAAAAAAAAAATATATCACATTAAAAAACAAAGAGAAATATTACACTCTAAATAAACCAAAATCACAGTGTATAAGAAACAAGTATTTTCAACTTGTCCCATTTTTTTTTTTCATATAAACATACATGTAGTCCTGAAAAGAAGAAAATGTCATTACAATCGCGTCTACATAAGATTTCTCCTATGATAATACATGAAATCTAATACTTAATCAAATATCCTTCATTGCATTAGTCAAAATATAAAAATTTAATTCCTAAAGGTTTTAAGAAACCTATATTACCATTATATATTTTAATGTTTTTTTTTTAATATTTAAATATATATTGTATGTATATTTAGATGTGTTCGTAATTAACATCGCAGCAATTGCCTTCCGATCTTTATTCATAATAATAGTTCGATTATTCAGTAGGCCAGATATACTTTAGTTAATAGTAAAATTAGGCTCATGTTCCTTATAGACTAAAAAATTTGTCATTTTGGGAACTTTCTGAAATAACTAGGAATTTTGCACAATTCTAAAAAAAACCAGTCAGTTATCCATTTCGGCACCAAACTCATTAGCGCACTACTTACTTACAAAATCCAAAAAATCCTTTATCCTGAGCACAATATACCACAATTATTCCAATTTTAATCACTAAGAGTTTCGTTCACATCAACGATTCACGTAAAGACTAGAGTGTCCGGATAGTTTAGAGACTGAAGGGATTGCAGAGTTTGTGTTGTATGTGAACATGGTTTGGCCAATAGATCGGGTCGCGGTGGCCGCGCCGCTTTAGCGCACATTCACCGAGCCAGGGGCGCTAAAACGGCGGTCGCAGCCAAAGCCAAAGCCAGGGAGGAAGCGAGCGCTGCCCCGCGAGAGTATGAAAGCTCCTCGCTCTTCACAACCTCGTTTTGCGTCTTATCGTATTTGTGCGTCTTTTTGGTTACCGGCTTGAATGTGGTAGTAGTTGTGGTGGTCGGCGGCATGGTGGGTGGTGGCGGCGGTGGTGGAGGAGTGGGCTGCGATGGTGGAGCAGGTGGCTGGTCTTCCGGCTTGCAGCACACCCGGAAAACCAGCTTCATATTGTGACTCAGACAGCGACCGCCTATACGTCGATGCAAGTCGTCTTTGCTAGACGTTGATATAAAATAGTAATCTTTACCTGGCAAGAACTCTAGCCCGCCGGGCTGCGGCGTAAACGGTCTGAAGGTAATCGTGAAGAACATCAGTTTGTGCGGCTTATCGCATATCGCTATAATACGCGGGTTCGGATTGGTTATCCTACAAGTATCATATTCTTCTTTACTAACGTTATATATTATGTATTTCTCCGTATCTTCCTCAAAGGTGCCGGGCGCGTAGACGGGACATATTATGTTCACTTGGTCGTACTCGAACTGAGCGTTGCCTTTATTCAAATCGAATACATGATCGGTGTTGTCTATTCTGAATATGCTATTTGTTGTATTCCAATGAATGTAGAAGGATTTTGCGTAATTGCCCATAACGCTTTCGATGAAGAAGACTAGGACGAGAAGAGTCCAAGGCGCTTGTCGCATTCCGAAATAAGTAAAGGACACCATTCTGTATATTTATTGCTCAAAAACTCATATCCGATCAAATAAGCAAGCCAGTTTTTCTAAGCTTCTGCCCGAAAATCACCAATCCACATTATTTAGACACAAACTTAATTCACTACAAACATTATAAAAATCAGCTTCACACAACAAGTAAAACAATTTCACTCATCGCGTACAGTCCACCATGTTCAGTCTCCGCTAGATTCTATTCATCGATAAATGTGGAATTTCATGGGACGTGGCCCGTTTTAAACGTCTCTACATTCACTTAAACTCCAGTTATTTACACTAAAACGTTAGTATGAACGACCATTGATGGTTTCTATGTTTGTAAAACGGTGGAATTAATCAATACATCACAGATTTTTTTACAATACTGAGGCGTTCTTTGTATGAGCTTGCGTCGCGAAGAGTGGTTGCGTGGCGCCGAACGGCCGTCGGTCGAACTACTGGAATGCTGGTCGGGCCAGAGGTACGCATGCGGCCCACGCCCCTCTCCCACCCCCCTGACGCCGATCGCCGCGTTCAAGCTTTAAACGAACTTTTGCGGTATTACGCGAGATCGAATCGTCTGCTTTACATTATGTGAGACCGGAAATAAAATAAAATATAGAGTTCATTGATTTTCTTTCCGAAATTTCTAAGTTATTCGATTGGCTGTTAAATTTGATTATAGTTTAAAATAATTTTATTGTTTATTTATTCGTTTTTTGATTTCAAGGGTCGTTTATTTTTGTATGTTAATATTGAACGTAGCCGACGCGTCAGTAAAAAAGTGCATTGCCACAAACAAGCTTTAAGCTCGCGAAGCCCGAGCAAAGGCTTTATGGGGTCTACGGTACAATATGGGCTACATATTTAAATAGATCTTCTGATATACTTAACTTGTTCTATATTCATGATTTTATTTAAATCTATTACAATATATCAAAATGTATAATAAAATAAAGCTTATGAAAATAAAAATATCATTTTTACATATATTTTAAATATATACAGTTATACTATATAGTTGATATAGATAGATATATCAACTTCTTAAGAGACTCTACACAGTAATATATCTTGCAAATAATAAACCCATCATCGTATGTTAAAAATATGCAAGGCACGCCATTACACCATGAGTACGTGTCGAATCTAAGCTGTGAAAGTTAGACACGAAACGTTTAGACATAATTTTTTACAAGCCACATTTTATATTTTAGCTGTAAACTAATTATATAATATATATTTAATAATCAAATTATATATATTTTTAATATAAAATAATTAAATAATTTAACATAATATTATAATAGTCTATTATTTCATTATTTTGGCTATAGATTAAAATCATAAGCGTTATAATCAAATTCAGCTATATATTTGCAAATAATAATTTTTAAATATCTCCGCCAAGTCAGAGAGTCAATATGAACGAAATTATCGAAAGTTTGAGTCATAAACATTATATTAATATGTATAGGAATTTCTTATTTTTATACTTGCCGTTACTTTTTAAGTGTATACATATAGCAAATATGTGGGAGAAAATATAGTATTTCTTAAAGAAGTTTTTGGAGTATAACGTAGCTATTTAATTCTTTAAAAAAATCTAATAAATAATACTTTCTAAGATGTACGCTAATATTTGACATGATTTGTTTGTTTGTCCTTCTTTCACGTCAAAACAGAATGACAAATTGGCATGATTTTTGTATGGAGATAGTTGGAGAGCTGAAGAGACTATTTTTCTCCGCGAGAGATTATCTCCTTCCCACAGAAAAACGTTATAACCCAAAAAAATATTTATGATCAGAGTTACTTGAAACTTAGTATTAATGCTCTTCGAAACAAATAAGTACGTGTATTACCATTTTTCGAAATACATCCCATATCGGAGTAAAATCTATACATATAATAAAATTGTAATTAAGGCGAATCTGTACATTAAAGATTTTTTTGGAAAATCTTATTGAAATAGACATTATTATCGATACAGAGGCCGAATCTATAGTTTTTAGAATTTTTGTCTGTCTTTTTTGTGTCTGTGGAGGGATTTTGATAAAATTTGGTATGATAATAGCTGGTTATCTGGCTCAACATATAGGATACTTTTTACCACGGGAAAATGACTCATTTCTGAGAAAAAATAGAAAAACTGCATGTAAGAGTATACTAATATTTAAAACCTAAGAATTTGGTTTTTGATCGTCTGAACGCGGGCGGAGCCGCAGGCAATGCTAGTAGGAGATAAAAGTGTGTATGAAACCTACCTTTTTACTATTTTTTGTAGTTTTAGCGCGAGTGAAGCCACGGGTTCTGGTAGTTTTAAATAAAACTATGGTATCGGATTATTTTGATTTTAGATTCCTAACGTTTCGAATACTTTATACTGATACTGATATTTTATTTAATTTGAAAAAACAATTTACATTTAGTAAAATATTTTATGATATACACACATGCATAAAAAAATAGTTTAAAGTTACAACCATCCATTTTGAAGACGGTCAATCGATATTACATGTCGTCACGATTTTATCCTTCCATACGACACTATATTAATTCATAAATACGGATATATGTTTTTCCGTCAATCTCTATATTATCTTTTCCTATATCCGTGATTCTCTTCGCCTGTTAGTGGTTATTTGAACTGCAGAACATGTTCTAGACACTAATCACTACATATATACTGCCTGACTATCATTATTTTAAGTCTGGATGACTAAATAATGACTCCACTAAAACAAAAAAGTATTTAAAAGTAGATTTTATATCTAAAATATTAAATTGTATAATAAATGTTAAGCAAAAATAATTATATGGCACACGCATAGCATGAAATTTTAATATTATCTAATATATATATAAGTTGAAATATAAGTTAATATAAGTTTGTGGTCGCACTTCTCCGAAACGGCTCGACCGATTTTAATGAAATTTTGTAATCACGATTTTAGTGTTTTTGTATGAACAATATTATAGAAATACATAGCGACGTATCCAAGCGAAAAGAGTGTGAGTCGCTGTATAACATAAAGCCAAAGAGTTTTTTTGTAGATTGAACGCGGGCATAGCCGCGGGTTCTGCTAGTAGTATCTATACATATAATAAAATTCTAACTGAGTCGCATTAAATGTTTTTTTGGAAAATCTTATTGAAATAGTCATTATTATCAATACAGAGGCCAAATCTATAGTTCTTACAATTTTTGTCTGTCTGTCTGTTACCGCGTCACGACAAAACCACTAGTCATATTTTTATAAAATACATATGGTATTTTGATATAATATGGTTAGTGATTGCTGGCTATCCGGGTCAACATATAGGATACTTTTTACTGCGGGAAAATATCTCATCTGTGAGAAATTTATACTATACGTTAAACGTAACTAGGGAAGAACCTGAGTGGAGCGAAGGTGAGTCGCTAGTAATAATATACGATTATAAACATAAAAAAAATATTAATAATAATATCAATTAGTTGCAAATGATAGTTACCTTTTTAGATATTACGAACAAATCTCATAATAATTATATAAATAATTAAACTTATTCTAATAGAATATTAGTTTTTACCGCGTCTCCGCTCGCATAGTAAGCGGGGCGGGATTCAAGGGTAGCCTATATCCAATCTCAGGATCTAATCTATGTCCTTGCCAAATTTTATCGAAATCTATTCAGCGGCTTAAGCGTGAAACTGTAACAGATACTTTCATATTTGAAATTTTAGTGTGGATTTTATATATTTTAATATGTTGAGTACAAGGTACTTGAATTACTCAATAAAATATTTTTAGAGTCTACGTCATTAAATAACAGTTTGTCATACAATAAACGCTAAATAATTATAATATAAAAAAATAATTGATAATTTTTGAGATTATGCACAGGAATTCTATTGATCCTAGTTCGGGTTCGAGTCTCGCTAAGGGCATTCATTTATATGAAAAGCAAGAATGTTTATACTACAGTCATGGGTGTTTATATTTATAATATGTATGTATTTCAAGTACATAATTAATTTTGTACATATGTATTTGTTGTGTATCAACTATCTGGTATACATAATACAAGCCTCGTAGCTTACCACGGAACTATATGGTGTTGTGTGTTAATGCCCCAACATATTTATTTATGTACTAAAATTCATCAAAAGCCGACCAGCCGTTTCAGCGTCAAAGACCAACAAACACGCACACGCACAACCTTTAGTTTTTATAATAGTAGTCCTTTAATGCCATATGGATTGTACAGTAATATTGTGTAGCGGCAAAAACCCTGTCATACACAAACCTGACTTTTACTTTGCCAAGTTTTTAGTATTATAAATAAACAAAACAGCTTAAACATTGTGAAACAAAATAGCCATATACAAAACAATAATTGTCGAAAATTCGTTTATCATTCATCTAATTACGAAACAAATCCACTTCCCGCTACGGTTTCTCTTGTAACAATGATTTAATGTGAAATGTAGAGACTGAGTGAATAATTTACTTTTAATTTGTGATGTCTCTATAAATAAATATGTTGGGACATTAACACACAGCACCATCTAGTTCCATGGTAAGCTACGAGGCTTGTGTTATGGATACCAGATAGTTGACACACTACACACACACATATATATATACAATAACTTTTAATACATACATATAAATATAAACAAACATTATTTGAGTATAAACATATACGATCATAACACAAATGAATGCCACCAGCGAGACTCGAACTCGCGACCGCTGGCACAGCAAGTATATAATATGTCGTGAAGTTTATTATAAGTTACATGTTAACTCAATGTTGCTTAATAATATATAAAACAATAAATTATCATAAAAATAACATATTTTTATGATAATTTATTATTTTTAAATAGTTTCAGCGTGCCATGTTTTTTGGATCAAATTTAGTAATTGAAATTTTACCCCTTTCCTGTTGGCAGATTGATCTGATATTTGGTACACACCTTTAGTTCTTATGACAAT